TTTTTTGTTTTTTTTTTTTTTTTTTTTTGGTCCGCGTTCGGCCTGAACGGCCGCACGCCTTCCGAAGGGGTCCGTACGTTCGGGCGTTCGGGTTCGGGCGTTCGGCCCGTCCTGAACGCCGGCTACCCTGCCCAGAAGTATTTATCAAATACTCCTTGTCAGATTCCATCACTACAGCACCAATTAATTCGCTTTAGGTCACACAATATATCGAAGAAGGGGAACCATGCAAAGAACTATGAGTCGATAAACTAATATACGCCACTTCATTATTTTCAGATTTGCCATTCGCATTGCGTTCCGGCCGGAGACAAGCTACAGTGCTACATTCTTCTCGTCGTGATCCATGATCCCCAGGTGGGGAGGGAAAGTGCAGCATAATTTTTTGTACAAACTGTACTTCCATATTTCCCGTTTCCCTCGCCACTCTGGATCTGATCTCATGGTGGGGAGGCAAAGCTCTGTCAATCTTTCTGCTTCATTCGACACTCTCGATCTGATCTCACGATCCCCCAGGCAGAGAGGCAAAGATTCGTCTTTTATATGTCTGTCTCATTCGCCACTCTGGATCTGATCTCACGATCCCCAGGTGGGGAGGCAAAGCTCTGTCAATTTTTTGTTGTTGAATTTGTCACCCTGGATTTAAACTGGATCTGATCTCACAATCCCCAGGTGGGGGCTCTGTCATTTTTTCTGGTTTCATTAGCCACTTTGGATCTGATCTAACGATCCCCAGGAGGCGAGGCGAAGCTCGGTCAAATTTTCTGTTTCGTTCGCCACTCCGGATCCGACCTCACGTTTCCCAGGTGGGGAGGTGAAACTCTGACAAATTTTCTGTTTCATTCGCCACTCTGGATCGGATCTCACGTTTCCCAGGTGGGGAGGTGAAGCTCTGTCAAATTTTCAGCTTCATTCGCCACTCTGGATCTGATCTCACGATCCCCAAGTGGGGAGGCGGAGCTCTGTCAACTCTTTCTGTCTCCTTCGTCACTTTGGATCTTATCTCACGACCCCCAAGAACACAGACCAGCATCAAAGTGTGAACACATCTGAGTTCGGTTGCAGATTCACTTCTCCATTCTTCAATTCCAGACATGAACGAACTACACAAGGGTCAAAGGAATCAAGGACAGAATAAGAAGGAAAAAAGGGTGCAAAGGAAAGAGGAAAGGAAAGAAAGGAAAAGGAACGAAAGAGATCCAACGATACGACCATGGGAAAGTAAGGATTGGGAATGGAGTCAATGGACACACGGAAATGGCTAGCCGAAAAAACTAAGGTAAAAATGGTCAAAAGAACTGAACTCATTGAAGAAGTGGTGAGTTGGGAATAACCCAAGGAGGCGTTGCCAACCTTGGATGAATTTTACAGCAAGCATGCAGTGCTCTTGACCTTTTCCAAGAAAAAGTCAAGAACGGAATAGAGCAGAAAAACTGAAATGGCTATGGGAAAAGCTTAGGAGCATGGAGGCAATCCCAAGAACGAACACCAATGTCACTTCTCACAACAGCGGCAGAAACAGCATAATGGTGGTCTGGAAGGACGATAAACAAGCAGAATTCCTCCAAAACAAGTCTTTCACCTGCAATTCCTCGGTGGTCTCAGTCTACCCATGGTTCCAGCCAAGAATACTAAAGCATCCCCCTCAGGGTGCGGCAATCACTGATGTAGAAATACTTCTGGATTCAGTTTGATGTGGTACAATAGGGTTTAGACCAAGCAGTCAAAGCAAGACTGCAAGAGGAACATGGACAGTTCCCAGTGATGGATTGGATCACGCCAACCCCAGACTTCTTGATCCCTCAGCACGACACAATGATGGCTCGCATCAACACATAAGGACCGGTACCACCTCAACTCCCTAATTTCTGGTACTTTGTTGTCTGAGACAAAAGGGTCAAAATAACACTCCACCAAGTCAAACCCTTTGTGCTTCAAATGCAGACAGAGGGGACACTTAGGAACGGACCCACGATGCTCGAAAAATGCAGATTCTGCAAAGCACAGGATTTTGAAATTAACCAGCTTGGAAGAGGTGGAGGGGGAACCAGGTTTCTGGTTCATCAGAGAAGCCAGATACATGGGATGGGTGTTCAATAACAACCTGGAAACACCTGAATGGGTCTGGATCTTGGAAGGAGAACCAACCCAGAGACCAGAAGTTTACCCCCCCTAGACAACAGTTGACAATCTAAGAATGTTGGCAAGAAATCCCTCAAAATCTTCACCCTGGATCCAGTTCTAAACAGGGAAAGAGTGCGAAAGAAGATTGAGAGATCTCCAAATGGACTTGAATGTGACTGGAGACATGGCTGAAAGAAGCTGGGCGGAAATAGTAAAAGAAAACAAAGCCAACGAAATGGAGATAGGCTCAACACAAAACAGCATGGGAGGGAGTCAAAGTGATTCAATATGCACGCAAAGGGAGCCAGAAATCAGAACATGAAAAGAGGGAAATCACAGAGGGAATAGGGACACAAGACCAGGATGTGGAAATGATGGAGGACATGAGCGCAGGAACCAAAGGGAAAGGGAGAGAGCTAACGAAGGAAGAGGTCACAGAGGGGAAGAAGTGACAAATGGGATCCGGATCAGGAAGACTTGGATGTATGTATATGGGATGGCAAACCAATTGAGAAAATCAAAGAATACATCGAAGTCACAAAAGCTCAAAGAGCAAGTATGTTTGAGGTACCCATGGCTTATGTCAGAGAGGAGGAAAGAGCAAGGAGCGAAGCACAAAATCAGCATAGCTTCCCCCTCTCAGAAAATAGCTATGAAGCTTTGAGCAGAGAGGAGGAAATGACTGAGTATTATGCACAGCAATACTGCAAGATCAAAAGAAACCAGACCAGGGGGCAGAGAACAGAAGAGGACGAGTCTTATCAGGGAGAAAAGGAAGGATGGAGAGAAGACAAATTCAAGATGCCTCAGCTTCCAGAGACGTACAACAAAAGGAAGAGCAAAGAGATGGGAAAGAAGGGGCAGTCCAAAGGAGAGAAAGGAACAAGAAGAACGAACAAGAAGGATGGCTGAAATAACGCACAATAGGTTTCACTGCCTTGGCTGATGGGATCTCCTTCTGTAGTCTTCCGAGAAAGCGCTCCAAAATGATGCCTTCCTTCAACACACCACCTACCAGCACTAGTGGGAATGTTCGTCCTTTGGCTGCTGAATATCAAGATGAATACATAGATAAAGTCAGGCATTGCTAATGAAATGGTGATAAGTGTTCAAAATCCAAGAACAGGGAAGTTCAACCATTCAGCATTTTAGTGTCAGATGTCTCACTCCATTGGTCTTTAGTACTCTTTACCATATCTGGAAAAGGCTTGACTGTTTTCTTTTCTTCTTTCTTCTTTTGAATTGTCGCTTATATATGCTGTTTAATCAATTCCATGGAAGTGACAGAATACTGGGCTAGAGCAAGTGGCCTATGGTCTCACCTATTTGTCTCCTCCTTCCCAGAACAATCTCTCCAACTCCTCACATGGACCAACATTCCCCCCCACCTTATTCATCCCGAGAGACTGTGGTTTGGCTTAAACCACCAGTACACACGGGCCTGGAGGTGCCTTACTGCGTGCCAAGCTTTTCCGAACCGCCAGTGGTGCACTTTCTTTCCTTTTTGGCTGGTGCCGCCAGCCACGCTTGTCACGCGGGGGTCCCAGGGGCCCGAGCTGGGGTAGGGGTTTCACCCCCAGACCCCC